ATATATATATATATATATATATATATATATATATATATATATATATATATATGTGTTAATTTTAACACGAAGAGATTTAAAAGAAGAAATTATCAAATCATAATGTGTTTTGATCCACACTCTAAGAATGGTTTCACTTGACAATTTGGATTTTACAGGATTGCAGCGTGATGAATCAGTTGATATTTCGTCAATATTGAGTGCGTTTAAGTCTATGCTCTGTTACTCTTTGTCAGAGTTTTAGCATATGACTCACAAGTTTAATGTCACCACAGTTCACATAACTTTGAATGTCACTTTTGTTCATATAAAGTGAAATTAATGTACTTTTTCTTCACTTGTTGGGTGTCCTAACATTTCTAGTTATAACACTGAATAACTTGGTAAGTCATCTTACTCCAACCTATTTAAGACACTTCCACGATTTTATAGGAATACTATCTAAACTATAAACTTTTCTAATCCCATATTTTCAATTGAATCATTTACCTTACAACAACAACAACAACAACAATATATGTTTGGAGATCTAGAATTAATGTTATTTATCATGATTCGAGTTGAACGAGTGATCAAAATATATATCCTCTCTTTATCTCTTCTTGATCTTATTATCCAACTCTTGTCTAGAATTATCTTTAATGCACTTCACCTTATTTAATGATCTTATTTTCCTTCTTTCTTAGTTGTACTAGTTTAATTTTTTTTCCTTTCCTTCTCATATTCCTAGCTTTTGATATAAGTCATCTAGGATTTCTCCTCAAACTTTATTACTAATAGTCTTCTTGACTTTCTTCAAACTTTATTACTAAAAGTTTTCTTAACTTTCTTCTTAGCTCTCTTGTACTCCCTATGTTTGATTCATTTTCGGTTTAATTTAAAGACCTCTATACTAGACTTCAACTTGTTCAGAGAATATCATCAAACGAGACTTCAACTTCTTCTCCCCCTATAAAGTGAACGAAATAATATAATATACACTAAGACTTATTTTGTTCTTTTTTCTTTTTGGGGGCCGGAAATAGAGGCGGATCCAAGATTTAAATCGTTCAACTTTCATGATTTTTAGTATTGAACTTATTAAATATATTTTTAAAGTTATGCTTCATATCTACTATTTTTGTAATTTTAATAAAATTTTACATATAAATTTTTACTCTATATCGAAAGTTATGAGTTGAATTGAATATGTTGATTCAACACTACATTCGCCCTGACCGGGAAGACAGCAAATATATGAGGGATGACTGATGAGATTAGAAAGATATGGGTGGCGGTTGTTTAGTTTCAACTCCGTATTCAAAAATTCATACAAACTAAACAACTGATTTAAAAAATTAACCTAAATAGTCGTCCATCTTAAGTATATAATCAGCATATTATTCATATATACCGATTAATTAAGAAAAATAAACAGTCTATTTATATAAATATCTTTATAATATGACCTTCTTCTCACAATTCATATAGATCTCATGCACCTCAACCAATTACATTATTAAAGAATGGGCTACCAAAGTTATCTCTTAGTAGTTAGTACTACTACGTACCCACCACACTACTCTTCTAACAATACAAATTCAAAATTATTGTCAGTGTTTTTTTCTTTTCTTTGCTTCCAAGTTGCTTTGCCATGTTGCCTCCTTTGAGTCTAATTCTTGATCTCATAACTCCTCCTTTGGGTGCCATTACTATTATTTATGCTTCCTTTGGCACATATACCCATTTCCATTTGCTTCTAATCACCTAATTTTAAAGTAAACAATTACTCCATCAAATGCTTAAAAGCGTATGACACAATATACATATATAGAGAGAGAGAGGTATGCTTAACTTTATTAGAAATCTTTCACAATCTTTTTCTTCAATTCTGCTCGGTATAAATTAAATGGTTACTTGACTTTATTGGCTGATCTAAAGGGTAATTCAATTCAATCCATGCCCCAACTTCCCATCACATGTCGATCTGCTTTCATTTGTCATCCTTTGAATTATATTTTTCTCTATCTTTCGTTTGGTTTTGGTCAAATGATGCCTTCGGCAGGTCACGTCTTCAGTGCGAGGATTCTTCCATTTATAGCATGATATTATTCTGCCGTGCCTGCTCAGCTTGCATTATATGCCGTGCCCAATTACAGACCCATGATTTAAAGGTAGCGGATGTATATTTGCTTTAAACCAAAATTTATTTTGTATATAGGGAGTCACTACTGATATATTATTATTTTTTTAGAAAAAAAAAATAATAAAATATATNCTCTGATTGTGCCTACCCATGGAAGCTTTATGGTTTCTTATAATGACCTAAAATTAATAAACAATAATAATGAGTGTTCACAGTAAAAAAAAATGACAAATATGGATAGATTTTAGGTGGACTTCTTAATACATATATAAGGTCGGGGCTAAAGCTACTGAGCTTAGGTGAATCCGTAAATGACACTTGCCTAGTCACTAGGGCGGTGCATGGATAGGATCGGATCGGATTTAGCACATTTCAGATTGAAATTTCGGATTTTTGATTCTACAAAATACAATCTGAATTTGATCCGAATTAATATCGGATCGGATTTTAAAGTTCGGATGGGTTAATATT